TGACGTCGCGACTTTAGTGACACGATTTAATCTCCGCTATTTTGCGTAGCGCGGTTTTGTCGTGCCACGGAGAATGACAAATGTGAATCATCTTATCTTTGGTATGACTTTTTTTTTTGTTGACATGCAACAAAATTGGATTGCATAGAACTGTGTTACATCTTTGAACTGTTTATTATGCCTTCAAAGAATCACCTGGAATCCCTTAACACAGTTTTTTTTATGGCATTGAAGCAACAGGAGAGGATGCTAAAGCTTTTGCAAGTAGATTCAAAATGGTGTACAAAAAAAGTGAATGGCATGGTTTTTAGGTATACATTCTGAAGCCTTCCTGTTTTTGTCTCCACAGCTCACAACCCAAAATGGAGGTTAATCTAGTAAAAGTAGTCTAGTAAACTTAAGTCTAATCCAGTCACTTCCATTGCATAGACAGTAAGGTTTTGAAGGGTAGCCAATGAATATTTGGAATGAATGTCACTGTTTTCATACACAAAGCTGATGCAGATGCCTTAAAGATACTTCTGGAGATGAAGATGAAGAAGAGACAAAAGAAGCCCAGCCTTCCAAGCACCGTGACAGAATTTGCAACTGAAGAGGGATCCAAAGTTTACGTCGTTGGTACAGCCCACTTTAGCGATAGCAGCAAAAAAGATGTAGTAAAGGTAATTATTGATATTTGCAGTGTTGTTTTTTTAAAAAAAATAGATTTAAATAGTCTCATCAAGAAATCTTGCATATTTTTGTAAAATGCAAGAAAAGAAAATTCTTTATGGTTGAAGAGAATGTACCTTTGTTTCAAGTTTCTGTCAAAATGTTTTTGTAGCATAAAAACATAATCTATGAATAATATACAGCTTGAGGATCTCTTTGTGGCTTTAGTGCAACTTTGAAGCTTTAAAGGAAGAGTGGAGTGTTTTTTTTTAGGACAAAAATCCTGATGTGGAAAAAAAAAATAGAATTCCTTTCTTTACATAAAAAGAAGGGTTGTCTTCTACCTCTTTTGTTGACTTTTATAAGAATTCTAGAAAAACTAGTATTTAAAAAACGTTCTTTTTTAAAAAGATAATTTAAGTCATTTTAATAATGTAGTTACCTTTAGCTATTTAAACTTGTAAAGTTTTCAAAACAGAACATAAACATTTATTATACTTCAATTGCGTTTTTAAAGAGGTCTCTAATGAGGCTATTCGGCACTCTAGTATAGAACGTTGCAGGTTGGTTCTTTTTAATTTTGTCTGTAGGTTTGAGCCTGAATCCATCTCTTGCAGACAATACAGGAGGTCCAGCCTGATGTGGTTGTGGTCGAGCTGTGCCAGTATAGAGTTTCTATGTTAAAAATGGATGAAAAAACTTTGCTAAAGGAAGCCAAAGAAATCAACCTGGAGAAGCTTCAGCAAGCTGTAAAGCAGGTATGTGTTCCTCCGTGATAATATCCACTTATTTTGGGTGTATGAGATTTGTTGTTTTTAGTTGCGAAGTCATGTCTAACCCATTGTGACCCCCTGGTTTTCGATAATAGCCTTGGCAGACTGGACTTCATATTCTAAACATTTCTATTTGTTCCTTATTGAGTAGGGGCAGAGAATGGGTGATCAGTAACCTGTGACTCACCCTAAAGAAATAGTTTCTGTTTCCTGTTACGTATTGCAAATATTGCGACATTTAGAAGTTACAACAAATGCCTAGAAAACGATGTGCCTAAAGCAGAATGATTTTCTAAGATACATTTGAAAACAGAAAATGTAATCCTTTTTTCTTTTTTTGTCAATAAAGAACTCTGGTTAAAAGAAAAACTGATAAAATATATAACAATGAAATGATTTAAGGGGAAGCTGTTTGAAATGTTACCATGTTTTCCTGAAATTTCTTTTGACACCCCCCCCCCAAAAAAAATAAGCGCTTGGCCTTATTTTCAGGGAGGTCTTACTATTTTTGAGCTGCAGGAGGCAGTGAGCGTGGTCACCTCATGGCTGCTGCTGTGTTGCAGTATTTTCGGGAAGGACTTATTTTAGCGCATGCGCTCAAAAGCCCAAATGGGCTTATTATCTGGGGAGATCTTATTTTCAAGGAAACAGGGTAGTATGGTCTGCAGTGCTGTTCTCTGAATATTTTAGTTCGTACAAACTGGCAATGTAGAACTTTGTTCAGTTTTGTGTATGTATACTAACATGCACCAATGGGAGGCACGGTGGCTCATTGACTTAATGACTCTGGAGGTGGTCTCAGCTCTGGCATTTCAAGTCCTAGCACTGTGTGGCAGAGTAAGCTCCTGTCACTTGCTCAGTGTCTGTCCACCTAACAATTTGAAAGCATTTTCTATGCAAGTAGATAGATAGGTACCACTTTAGTGGAGAGATGAGTTGGTGTGCTCTGGGCAGCCAATCAGATGACAGGTCCGAACTTTCCCATTTGCGGTGCCCATTTGTGAGGCAGCTCCAGAAAGGGAGGGGGCCTTGGGTGACACTGCAGAAAAGGCTACTAGTCTTTCTCTCTGGTGGGAAGCCAGCTTGTCCTCCTGTGGAGCTCCTTGGGAAGCGCAGAAGTGTGTACTACAACAGGACTGGTATCTTGGCAAGCCCAACTACTATTCTGCAATTCCATTGTGATCTGCTGGTTCTTGTAACAATGCCATATGCTAATAACAATAACAACAACCACAACAACTTGAATTGTTAAATTTTTACCAGTCCCAGATTGTGAATCGAATTTAAGATTAACCATAAGAATAATAGCAACATGTACCAATGACATCTAGAAATTCTGTCTTAATGTAAGTGTGTGGTCTGATGGCAGCAGAAATCAACTAAGACCATAACATTATTAGCAATGGAGCAGAATGCTACACGATTGTTTTTGAAGTAGAAAATCAGCAATTTAAAAAAATGAAGAAACCTCTTTTTGTTTTAAGTAGCAAGAAAATAAGCTGTATGCTGCGTTGGACCATCCAATTGCTGATTTATTTTGGGAATTATTTTTACTGTTCCCTGACAAGAAGGTTGAAATAAACATTGTTATGCTAGAACAAGTTAGATAATTTTAGAACTATTTTCTTCCCTTTTGATTCTTCTAACAGATGACTAAAGAGTTTTTAGTAACCTTTGGATTTTATCTATATAATTATCATTAGTCTGAATCAGTGAAGGTTTCAGGCCTCTTCACTGAATGTTATGGATCATATATAGGAGGGCCTTTGCACACATTAGAGTGATGTGCCAGTTGAAATTTTCCTGGATTTTGAGGCTTTGTTCATAATCATTCACGGTCTCTTTAGCTCTTGTACTGACTACTGCAATGTGCTCTACATGGGGTTGCCCATGTAGAGCATTCAGAAGCTTCATAGGAAATAAAGGATGTTGGATATTTGGCACATTATAAAACAATTGCTTCCTGAACTGCAATGGTTACCAATGTGTTTCCAGATGCAATTTAGGGTACTGTTATCTATATATTACTAACATTCTCCTTGTCATAACGTTTAACTGGGTAAAATGGTGCATTATAGGGCAACAACTTTTTAATCAAGATACCTCAAATGGGCTAACTTATAGAATGTGTCCAAAATCCATGACGCATGACCTCCAAGGGAATGAAATTTGAGGAAATTGTTACGGTACTACAGGCTTATGCTGCATTGTTGCTGCAGTCATAATCTTCATTTTCAATGTTTCATAACAGTTTCTCAGTCAGTCTCTCAAGCCCTGCCTGCTGTGAAGGGGAGGGGAAGGGAAAGGGGAAGGAAGGAAGGAAGGTTTCTGCCTGAATCCCACAAGCAAAGTCAATGGGGAAGCTGGCAGGAAGTTAGAAGTTGCTACTGCTCCCGCTGCTTCCCCCCCCTCCCCTTCATGGCCATTCTGTTTAGTTAAAGAAATGATGATCTCATTGAGCGCGGATAGTCTAGTCACCTTGAAAGCCTTCATGGCTTGGGGCCATGTTTCCCTTAAGGACTGTCTCTTCCTGGTTGTTTCTACCCGTCCAATTCAGCCAGGTGCGTTGGGCATTTTACAGGTCCTGTTAGCTAAGGAATGCCAGGCAGAAAGAACCTGGAGACTTGCATTGTCTGCCATAGCATTCCTCTCCTCTGGAATATTCTCCCTTCAGGTATTAGGATGACCCCAATCCTGATGGCCTTTTGCAAGATTGTGAAGATTTGGTGCCGGGGCCTAGGTAGCGGGCCCCAATCTTTTGGTTGTTTTTCTGTGGGCCGGAGGATGTGCTTTCGCGTGCTGTCTTCATCGAATGGACAGGGCTTTGCTTGTTTGCACAGCATGGTTTATGGCCTGCCATGGACCGGTGCCCCTGTGATAAGGGGCCCATTTCCTGGTTGCTTGCCATGCACAGTAACAATTTTACTTGGTACCGTTTGGGCAGCACCCATCATAAAACATAAAAACAGTTTAAAACAAAACAGCACTTGATGAGATAGGCAACTATAGAGACCAAATAAATAACATAAACTATCATTTTAATCCAGTGCTGGCTGGTTTTTGACCTCCCTGTTAAGGGCTGAAAGAGACAACTTCTATGTCTAAGGTAGGACTAGAACTTGTCACTGTGCTCCTCGCTCATCATCACCACCACCGTAATGGCTGTGTATGTGGGTGTGCGTGAGTGCACATACGCACACACACTTTATATGTTTGTAGGAAATTTGGTAGCAAGCCAGCTCCAAATAGTAGAATAACTATTTTTCCGCTTTCACAAGACTGTTAATGGAATTATGTTTGCCTTTTCTTCTATTCAGTTCAAGAATAACACATTCATTTTAATGATGTCTCTTCCTCCCCCGTGTCAGAATGGGCTCATGTCTGGATTGATGCAAATGCTGCTGCTGAAAGTGTCTGCGCATATCACGGAACAATTAGGAATGGCTCCCGGAGGTGAATTCAGGGAAGCTTTCAAAGAGGTGAGTTTAAGATAAAAATAATAATACTTTTTTTTCCCTGAAGCAATACTATGAATTACAAAAATGAGTAGCAGCTAAAAAAATTGAGATATCCATTCATTTCATCAGATTCTTCAATTTCTACTGTTTAAAAATGGAAATAAATTATTTTAAAAAAACAAAACAACTTTAAAAATATTCATCAAACAAAATGGGATAACTCGCTGCTTCCAATTCGCCATGGAACAACTCACCGCAGGACAATTCAACAAATACAAAAGCTAATTTCAACTGAACTATGACCAGTGATAATAAAATAAAGTCAATCCAGAAATACAAGGGTTGCAATAATTTCAACGAAAACACAGTCACCTATAAAAAAGTATGTAAATGTAATAATTAATAAGCTTTGAATAGTCCCACGGCGAGTTGTCCTAGACCCCCATTGAAGTCTGTGCTTCCCTACTATAGGTTTCAATCTCAGTGCTAATATCAAGGATCTGTAAGGATTGTTATTTGGTGCATAGCCAAAGAATTTGAAAGAGATTTCAATATACAGGTAGTCCTCGACTTACACAAGTTCATTTAGTGTCCGTTCAAAATTACAACAGCAGTGAAAAAAGTGACTTATGACTGTTTTTCACACTTATGACCATTGCAGCATTCCCATGGTCACATGATCAAAATTCAGATTGAAATCCCTATAGGTAGTCCTTGATTTACAACCAAAATTAGAGCTTCCATCATAGATTGATGGGGTAGCAAAGTGAGTCATCGCATGGACCTGATTTTATGACCATTTTTGACACAGTCATTAAGCAAAGCATTGCAGCTATTAAACAAATTGTGCAGTTGTTAAGTGAATCACACAGTCATTAAATGAATTAGGCTTTCCCAATTGATTTTGTTTGTCAGAAGCCAACTCGGAAAGTCAAAAATCACAATCACACAACCCCAAAATGCTGCAACCACTGTAAATGTGAGCCAGTTACAATCTCCCTAACTTTGATCACATGACACTGTAGGTGGTGCCATGGTCATAACTCTGAGGATGGATCATAACTTTCTTTTTTCATTAAACAAGTGGTTTTAAGTCGAGAACTATCTGTCCATCTTAAAGTTGCTGAGATTGAGAAGCACTGTTGGCAGATCACAGCTGGGCCCAAAGCTGTCCTCTTGTTTGCTCTGAAGACATGTTTTTCTTCATGCCAATATTACTTCTGAGTATTTGGTAATTTAGCCTTTCTTGAACATTTAAGCTTAGCGGGAATTTGTCTAAAGTTTCAGTGAAAATTGGACCCTTGAACATATCTAATAGATGATAACTAAAATGAAAGAGACAAATATAGCCAAATTCAATTTAATTTAAACAGTGGTGTTGCCTTACTAGATAATATTGGCAGTCAGAATCCAAAAAGTGTTCTAGATTCGCTCAATCAGTGAAATGAATCATCCCGGTGTGGTTGATCCCATATATTTTTAGTTCCAAGTCCAGCTGCTACTTCAGTCTGTATAGTATAAAAACAAAATATATGTGCATTTTCTTTAGTCACCTTCTACTGACTTAAATCTAAAGCATTTTAGCAATTTGGAAAATCAGAAATGATTTTACTTGCAAAAAGTTTTTATTGCAACCCATCCACCCCCACAAGACCCATTCAGTCTTTTAATTTGCCCTGGGCCTTAAACCCCCAGTCATTTATTTTCATTTATACCACATAAAATCTGGTTATTATTTTACTGGCAGGAAGCCACATCTATCAAAAGCTTTCTCTTGAACCTGGGTTGTGGTTGGCTTGGGTATTCAGTAGATCCAAAAATACAAACTTTAATATTATTATTATATTGAACCATGTCTGGATCTTCCAATGGGAGCTTGTCTTTACTGGTAAACGAAGATAAAAATGAACATTGATGTCCCTATTATTGTATATCCTTGCTGTTAGAAACACGCAGCGGGACTTCTGGGAAGTCGGGGGGGGAAGGAGGGGGGTTGGGGGGGAAGGTGGAGGGGGGGGGGGGTAT